GGTCTACACTACACTGATAGTTTCAAATTAATAATAAACCAGGCCAATATTTATGAAAAGTATACAATAGTTTATATATAGTAGGATCTTATTTTGATGACCCACAATCAATTATCTAATGTAGAAAGTAAATTAACATAACAGGTCTTATTGGTTATACTGTATACCAATGTAACAGTACTAGTACTTTGAACTAAGAATGTAACAAAAAATTATAATTTTACAGGGACTTTTCCTTTCGCTAAGGATTAATAAAGTTTTACTTCTCAGTAATTGAGGATGCTTCAGAGGCTAATGACTGAACTCAAACTTCCAATTTTTTTAACCTTGAAATTCTACATTTTGAAATTTTTTTGGTGCCTTCGTCTGGTGATTTTTCTTTATTCTTTTAAAATTTACAAATCATGGCAAGGTGCCAAATTGTATGTAAAATAACAAATTATGAAGGACATTAAAAAACAGCTAAAAATAGTAAAAAAGAGAAGACATTAAAATACATTAAAATACTTGACAACAAATACAAAATGGGGAATCTTATAAATCAGATAATGAAATACATTAAAATACAGAATTACAAATTTTGTACTACTTGCCTTAGTTAAACTAAAAATTGTTTAGACCTAATTTTTTATCAATTTGTAACAAGCATTGAAAATTTTAAAGACGCTATTACTCAAACCTCAACAATTCTGTACTCATTGACCTTTCAGACTACAAATTATTAGGCTAAACAGAATGAATAAATTGATTAACTCGAAATCAGTCGGTCATCATAATCACACAAAATGATTTTCAATAGAATTCTGTTATGACTTTTGGATAAATGATTTTGAAGAAGGAATCAATTTACTAAATTGTTAATTCAGTTTAGTTCCTTTTGAAAACCAATAGATTGCCTATAAGTCTATATAACAGCCATGATAAATCTACCTTATTGAATAGATTTAACAATTTAATTGTTAAAAAAACTTTATGAAAAATATACAATAGTTTATAATGAAGTATCTTTTGATGACCACAATTATCTACAATAGAAAGCAAATTAAAATAATTGGTCTTACTGGGCAGAGACAGAAATGGGTGTACATTGAGAAATTCATCAATGTCTTTTCAATGGATAAAAAAGCATTACACCTTTCTGACAAAATAATAAATTATTATTTCTGCTGAGAGACACTTTTAACCTTGACATAACCTGTTGGATTAGCTGTATTTATGAGTCAAGGTATATTAAATGACTGAAAAGAATTCCTTTCTGAAACGAGAATTCCTTTCTGAAACAAGAATTCCACAATATTGGGACACAATAAAGATTTCTTCTACCCACTTAGGGATCAGGTTCATACAGTAAACCTTTCACATTTTAAATACAAAGTTCATGAAAAAAACTACACACCCAACAATATATTTTTCTAAATTTTAAATTTGTCAATACCGCATTTACAAAATGTCAGTCATTAATGTCATTATAAATTGAATAAAAAATAGAACATGTCATAATATATATTGAAGAAATGGACTAAAAGATGATGATGATGAAAATTAGCAATGGAACTTCTGTGCACTACATGCCTCATTATCGGGCAATCAGAAAGGGTGAGCCGATACTTAGCAATCATTGAACCAATTTATAACTTCCTTAATTATATAAATGTGAGTTACACTATTTAATGAATATATCCTTTCTTAATATCATTATGATTGTGCTTTTGCAGTTGTGTTGTCAGAATTATTCTTGAATTATCAATGTGTATTGCAATGATGACCATGGGAAATTCTTAAGCAAACAATAGAAATTAAAGCCACCAGAGAATATAATTAACCGGTTAATTGTACATTCATGAACATTAATAACCCTATTAGCATATTTCCTGCACATGCTCAGCAAGTAATTTCAGAAAATTGGCTTAAATGATTTTCACCAGGTTACAAATTAAGATGAATAATTAAATTATTAATTACCAAATTCAAAATACAACCAGCCTACAGGATGCACATATTAATTATCTATCCCCATTCCAGAATTGCTTCCATTATACTACTGTAATTATAGACTTAAATATGAACACACAGGTGGGCAAAGTGCGGCCTGGGGGCCGCATTCAAATTAAATTAATTAAAACCCTACAGTATGTGTGTGGCCCGACAAACACTTTTAGCTAGGAAAAACCTCGATTTTTACGGCCTGACACTTATCATCTATAAAAAGTAATATTAAAAATGAGCATAAAGTGGTGTGGAAACAGTGCATGAAGTTTTTGGAAGCACATCGGAAACATGAAAGTTTGGGTGCGCCCTTGGTGTTAAATCAAAAATTCACTTTGGCCCTCCGACCGATTTATATGCCAACCGGGCCCCTGTATTAATATGTTGTGTGATTTTCTTGAAAATTATAACTAATACTAATAGGATGGCTCCAATATCTCAAAATTAATTATGAATCATTTTCACATCGACTATGTTACATTTTTTATTCAATTATAAAAGTAATAAAAATTATTGTATGCCATACACTACTATATAATTATTTTTTCATGCTTGATGTAATGTTGAGTGTACACATTCAGGTCCGTAGCACGACATAATTTGTGGGAGGTTCATTTCAGTGGAAAGTGGGCCCTGTGTATGATCTCAGATACTCTGGAGAACACTGTAAATATATTTACCAATACAAATTTTTTCGTTTTTAAATGCGGACCTTCAGTTTTTGGGTGGTTCTTCAAAACCCCCTTAACCCCCCACGCTACAGGCCTGATATTTTATTTCATTACTCTTTACATGATTTCTTAATGAGCATGTTTGTTGTTTAATGAGTATTAATAATTATATTTTAGTAAGCAATAAATATCTTACAGACCACACATTATGCAGTGAACAGTGGAGTGCAGGGCAAATTATGATGGATTACATTTTGTTGGATTTGCACAAATTGACAAAGTTTGAAAATTCTTCTGAAGGTAATTTTTTAAAATTGTGAAACATGCAGGACATTTACAGAACAGGTTGGTAATGTTGATGATTACAGGTAAAAATCAAAAGATTATGAGATGTAAATATGACATTAAAAAATATTACATGCACACGTTTAAAAAATGCAGAAATCCAATGAACTGTGCATAACATTGTGCTTGTCAATATGTCAATTCCAAAACTTATTAATTAATTATTAACTGTGGGCCTAAATTTTATATACAAATGGTCTAGTGAAATTTGAGTTAGTTATGTAAACATTTAATTTATGTCTCGATTGAATTGGCAATGTTGATATCAAAGGGCCATGCTTTGCATGACCTACTTTCTGTGTACAGTAAGTAATTACTTTACAAACAAGGTTCAAGAATCCTGTGTATTTTTACTAACAACAATCAATATAGGCCTATGTATAACACAGTCTAGGCCTAAGCCTAGGTCTAATAATAAAGCAATCTAAGTATAGTTTTCTCACCAGGGAATACCACACTAGGCCTACCTATGTACTAGCCAAGGTAGGTAGACCTAGCTAGATTCCCCTGGGCTATGTTAGCTTTATACAACAACATGCGAGACGCGGTTACACAGGCTAGAGGGTCATGCATTGCTAGGAGTCCTTAGCTAGCCTATTGTGGAGGGAGGAGCACAGACGATCAGACTACAGTAGGTTAATTATTAAGGGCCTACGCTTGTTTGTTTGAGCATCTTCATCAATCATCCCAGCTACGATCTACGCTGACAAAAAAAAAAACACAAACCTACCCTTCTGTCCGTTTTCATTTATCATCTCTATACCTTCAAATCCAATTGGAGGAGGTTCAGCCATCTTGGTAACCAAGAACGTGTACTTTTTATCTAATTTAGAATTAACAAAGTCCTACCCCAGCGAAGGCCGATCTAATTCATCTATTCAAGCACCGAGGACAGACCGCGCTACTCTTAGTCTTGCTTGTTGTGTGTGAGAACAGTCAACAGGGCGTTGTATAGGTCAAATGTTATGGTTCATCGATTACGGTAAACAACACGCACTACATTCACACTGATAAATTACAATACCCGCCCACACTTTTCTATTTAGTTTTTATAACTTTATATTGTGTCGATCTGTGTAGGCTAGAGGAATGGTTTTACATAAAATGCATTAAAGACAGTGTTGAGCTAATTTTAATATTTTAAAAAATAAACTGAAATTTGTGACTTTGGTTTTTACCTAATTGCAACATCAACAGCAATTCCCCAGGTCTATTTATTACTCTTCAGGAGTGATGTCCTCGGCTAAAATTTTTTCCGGAAATTACTCAAGCGATTCGGTTAAATTAAATCAGTGAAATGACGAAAAAAAAAAAAAAAAACCCCACACAAGTTTACCCATGTTACGGAACGTCAATTTATCAACGAACCTATCCGTTCGTGCGAGCACGTGCTAGATTTTTCTTTAAAGTTTCAGTTCACATTATATTAATTAATTAATTCGCACAATTAGGCCTGGTAGACACGCACGCAAATTTAGAGTTACAATACTTCGAAAATACTAAAATGTAATGGCAGAGGGCAGCACACTCGAGCTTTGCTAATACCAGACGGTCGGTACCGAATTAAGTGTACGTAAACACATATTTGTTGCAAAAAACAATACTAAAGTAAAACAAGTATCTAAAGTAGCCATTTATTGTACAAAAGGTACTTCCTAAAAACATACCTGTTTTTGTGATCGCTTTTCTAAACAATGACGGATACGTTCTTAATTGAATTATGGTAGTCAATGATTTGATACTTAAATAGTAAACAATTTACAGCTAATGGAGCGAACGTAATATGATCCGACAGATAACAGATATGACTTATACAATATTATATATATTTTTTGAATTTTACAAAATTACAAAGGAGTAATGAATATAAGCTGCAAAGAATGAAAAATCAACTGCAGGGAATATAAGCATAGCTGGCTATCAAAACCCGGAAGTATAACAATGCAGACTACTTTTACTACCTTGTAAAAATGGCATTTTAGTGGTTGTTGTACTTACTGTTTGACACCATCGTTAGCGCAAATACCGCCGACGCTTCTGGGGTCGGTTCACTGTTTTCATCTGCCTCCCCTTCTAGTTTTTGATATTCCATTCGCTCACGGTATTTGAGAGGATCCTCCGGGGGGTGTGACGACTCCATAGCTAAATCGTACAGCAGCCGCTGCTTTTTGTATTGGTTCGGGGTTGCCATCAGCCAGTTAAGTCTTCAACATACAATAATAATAACCGCATGAATAGTTACTCAGAAGTTCCACTAATCCCTACAAGAGCTAGTATTAACTCAGGGAGGTGCTATAAAATATTACCGTAAAAAGAAAAACGCGGATATGAGCCAGAACCCACCTAATTCAATCTTGGCAATTCAATGATTCTGCTATAGCTTTCGTATCTAAACACCGGTCGACCAACAATTTCAGATTGGTATCATTTAGATTGTTCCTGTAAACATTCTATAATATCGTGTGACCTTCTGTAGATTATCCGCGCACACCGTACCTTGGATGCATGCGGTTTTCACTTTAATTGCACAATCCACTACTGTATCTCGCGCTTCAATAGCCAACATTTACATATACAGCAGCAACATTTTCCGGCATGCATCGTCTTTGCTTGGATTAAAATATTTCATTGCTTACAATAAACTATAATATTAACATTGATGTGTGCCGCTTCCAACATTAACGACGCTCTCTACAATGCAAAGCGCTGGTCTGACCACCCGCTAGTTTTCGCGCAAGTTGTTAAAATTTAACTCTCAAGGGGCCCTAAGCAGTGCATGATTTTTTATGTCTGGGATAACTGTTGATTTCCTGAGACAAACGTAGCATATAAAAGTATACTAGAGAACAAACGTGTCCTATTTAGTAATAATAATTTTGTTATATATTTTCATCGTTATTTTTATCATATTTTCTTACTAATCTATAATACTCTAACCACATTGCTGCTTTTTGCGACTGGAAAATAAGTTTAGGTGAACTATAAGAGTAAAATATAACGTGAAAATGGCCAGAAATGGGGTTGTCCATCGATGTGTCGTTTCAAAGTATCATATGCTATTTTTCAGGATGTGTAGGCCTATGCAAGGGGCGTTTGGGTTTGGTAGGTAGGGACGTGTTCTGTGTGTCAACTAACATTGTGTATGTAATGTGCATGAATGAACTTTCTTCAAAAGTTTACAACACATAATAATCAACAATATTAGGAAGTCCGCCACCAACGACCGTTGGGTGGTACATAGTTTGATGTTAAAAGATGGCGGAAAACAACGTAAGTTCCGCAATTCCAGAGAAAGATGCAAAATCTAGGGAAAATTCAGTTAAAATAATTTGTCTTGGTGATTCTGCTGTTGGAAAATCAAAGTAAGTATAACTGTTGTTTTTTTTGGAAGTATTAATATTTATGGTACAAGCGTACCCCTCTTCTCTAGCCTAGCCAGCCAGGCTCAGTCAGGCTCTTCGATTGAGAATTTCTTTGGCTTTGCTCGAACTAACAACCAACCGCGTCCATAGAGACACTGGTCGTGTAGATAAATCATAAGGAAGCCTAAAAATTTAGCTTTTGGCCTAGGCCTATGCTTTGCTCTAACACGTTTAAATAAATCGTTCATAATAGTCATTGAATCACTCTTGCATAAAAGTTATTTGTAAAAAGAAAAACATTGTAGGCCTATGCCTACCTACATGGCCTAGGCCTAGGCCTAGCTAGCCTAGTAGTAGGCCTAGTAGTGCCCCTCTCTAGAGCCTCTTTTGAAAAAAAGCGCCTCCCTCGAATAACCACCCTGGGACGTTTTTTTTTCCTCGTATAAACGCGCACACCCCACCCTGGCTGTAAACAAAAACAAAACTAATGTAGGCACCATCATTTACAACATATTCTATTAAAGAATATTCTACTCCAGTAGACAGTAGAAATAGAACTACATAGTGCATTTTTTCTAATTTCTAACCTGGTTGGGATTAAGAAGTCTTTATGATCACACAATAATACATTTTGATGGTAATTGTGTGTTGTAGTTCCACATTTACAATGAAATTATGGGGCTTTATTTGAGTATACGTATCCATTTTACACCCAAAAAAATAAATGCCAGCCTTAATAAATGCCTCCCTCGAATGTATGCCTTTTAAATACAGTATATTGAAATACCATAATTGTTTGTGATGAGTTTTTCAAGTAGTAATAATAGTTAGTTGGATTAACCCAGTATTAAATGCATCATTTTATAAATTAATAATACTGGATACTAATATTTTTTTTTCATTTATAGTACATCCAACATAATTCAAATACTAGATACCATGCACATTAGAAAAATAAATATCTAATAACATTTTATCAAAGTGTCTGAAATGATACTTCCATCTGGATAGATGTTTCAAGTTCTTTAACTTGTAGACAACAAAGCAATGTTAATGTACTAACTTTCGCCAGGTGAAATGTATTTACAGAGTTGTGCTGTTTAGCAACAAGTGTTCCTACTGTATCTCTGTTTCATAAGCAAAATGTTTAGTAGACAACTTTATATAATTCAGGTTATCAATGCTTTCAAGATTAATTGTTCTTTAATAAATTCTAGAAGAAAAGTCAGATAATGTATCCTAAATGTTCTGTATTGCATCCACTTCTTAGTCAATTTTTTCTCCTCATGTGTGTCAAATATATATAAACCAGTCATTCTCACTCACACTGTCATTCCCAAAAAAAAATAGCAATTAAAGAATATGAAATTAACAACTTTCAAATGCAGGTCATAAAATAATATTTAAATTATAAACAAATCATGACAAATATACACTGAAAATTGAACACATACAATTAAATATTTTACATGTGAAAAACAAAATTCAAAATTGACAAATGGCACAAGATGAGTATAAGAGACAGGCATAAAATGCCTAGTGGAGTATTACAACTTAGGCCTAGGGGGCCTAGGCCTACGCCTACATGATGGCCTAGAAAGTATGCCTTTCCAGGGAGCCTGCTTTGGCTTAGGCCTCACTGTAATTTAGGGGTGGGCTAGTTGGGCCTTACTCCGAATATAGTGAGAAACCTGATGACGATGTCCAGAAAATATGTTTAAGGATTGCTGAAAGCAATTTTTTTTATTGCATATCTCATATCTGTATATTTTAAGTAGGCCTAATGTAGGCCTAGGGTAGAGGGTCCAACTTGCTAAGGGTAGGGATTCCAGAGCTTTGATAATTTTTGTTCCTTTTTTGTAGTGCGTACCCCGGGCGTACTTTACGCGTGTTTCGAGCGTATCGCGCAGAGTAATACACGCGCACAATCACGACCGTAAATTTCAAATTTTTTGGAAATACCCACACGAAAAATGCTTAAAATTTCTACTTTCGAATTCATAACGTGAATAAAACCTACTATGTCCGTGTAGCTACGCTATTATTCAATACAACTGTCTAGAAATAAAATACACAAGATGAACTATGAATACCGACATTGTTGTTCCAAATACATCGATTCTGGGAGCCACCTTAAAAGTTCACTCATTTTTTAACTGTGGTCGTGGTTTTTTGACTTGACCACCCCTATTTCAACAATAAATGTGCCCATCTTGCCATCGAACACTGTTTAAAAAAACTTTACTACGCCAAAGCTAATATAGTTCCCGATCTGCTGTTTATTTTTTTTGAAAATCGGAAAATTTTAAGTGCTCCAAAATCGGGTTTTTCACACGTTCATAGTTTAAAAAACTGGTTGAAATTCTTGTTTATTTAAAAAAAATCAATATGTAATAGATACATACCTTATTTTTGATTGTTGAAAATTTCATGAAAATCACGTGATGGCTTCATTGGCACATTTACTGATTCGCGGGCCTAGTTCGTTTTTTTTCCATCCCCAGAACCCTTCCGCCGTTCATGAGCCTCACAACCGCAGACTTCACGGTTGAGTGATTTTGTTTACTCCGAAAGCGTTCTTGTGATTGGTGCATTCGTCGGTTTGTCTTTCGATCCAGCCGCGCAGCGGTGGGCTTGAACGCGAGTTGACCGAAATTCACACGCTGTCAATTCACATTCCCAAGAGCAAAACAACTTTATTGTCTTTTGGGGCCCTGAAATCTTGCTATACCATGCCCATTGTTCGAATTTTTGGAAAGCCTATGCCCTGGAAATTACTGTATAAAAATTATGAACAAAATTGAGTATTTACGAAGGGAAATATCGTAGTTCAGAAAATTGAGTAAAATATTTTTCGTGTATAGATAAGCCTAGACAATGAAAAATGCAATAGCATGTTCGTATACTACAGTACAAATATGCCATCGTTTGTAATTCCCAGAAATATCCAGTCAAGTGTCTTTTTGAGGTAAATCGTTGTATGAAATTTGCTAATTGTTGCAAGATATCTAACCTTTTGATCCTTTTTTTTTTTCAGAAGAAAATCAGCAAATCAATGACATGATGAATGTGTTTATATAACAAAGAAACAGCAACTACGTAGTTGAAAATAAACTAAATATTTTTCAATAAAGCAATGTTATGTAGTATTGTCTTGTTAATGGAATGCATAGTTTAATAAAATATATGTAGTGACATATAAACATTTGATCATCAATAAGGACACACTTCTACAGAACATTTATTGTTCTCTTTTTTATACAAAAATATTTTTTCTCAATACACTACTGTAAAAATTTACTATTAATGGCAATGAAAAAATACTGAACATAAAACATATTAATGAATCCATTACAAGGCATCGTCCGATATTTAACACACCAGGGAAAGAACCAAGTAGCAATATATTGAATTTAATAGTTGCACATGATTTCAGAAGATCCGCTGTCTACAGCAATATATTCTGTAGCATTTTGGGTCAGTTTTGAGTTAGAAAGTTGATATTGGCTCAAATTTCCAAGCTATGTTAAGAGAGACAAAGAGTATGTTAGTGTATATCAAGTATAAAAAATATATATACATATCAAATATCTTAATAAGATTCTTATTGCAAAATCAAATTATATAAAATAATTCATTTTAAATACTTTTTGACCCTAAACATGAAATTAATGAAATATAATAACTTATAAGAATATTTATTTCTTCCAATATAAGAACATATATTCATAATAATGCATATAAAACACAAAAAAATCCGACCAAAAGTATCACAAATACGTTGAAATAGCTTAGAAAATCGGAGTAGGTAATACAGCAGTCAATGCAAAGACGCCTCAAGATTTGCAAAATTTACCACTGCCTGCGCGTACACAGGCTCCGCTTACCTCGGCCTTCTTGACAACGCATTGGTAACGGTCAAAATCACTCGGTAATCACGTGTGTTTTACCTTTGTAATTAGCAATGTATGTTTAATTAAATTGGCATATAAATCATTGTATTGAATAACAAACACGATTCCAATTACTATTAAACTTTTCTTAAGCGTACGAATTGAGTAATTAATGATTAATTACGGTACTATCGTCGTCGAGAGAGGGCGCTAGGCATTACGTAATCAACAGCCCAGCGACGGCGCCGACCGGTCGTGAAGGGAAGTGGGTTAATTATTAGAGGTGCGTAATTACGATTTCTCCTTAATTAGTGGATCGATTTTCAAAATTTTTTTTCCTAAACGTTATTGACACATGCACCTTTCAGCTAATGTAAAAACAATTGCGAAATTATTGAAATAAATTTTGGCTCTGGAATCCCTAATTATATATTGCTCAAATTTTTGCTGATATTATTATTATTATTACATATATATATATAGTACATATATTTATAACACATCTGCTCAGGCTCTTCAATCGAGAATTTCTTTGGCTTTGGTCGAACTAACAACCAACCGCGTCCATAGAGACACTGGTCGTGTAGATGAATTCGATCCAACTCGGCCACAAGTCAACTCGGCCA